TTCTATTATGGCCCTTTTACTAGATTTACCATCTTTTATCAGTTTCACCACCTTTTATCAGTTTCACCAGTTTCGCTATCTTTCGCCATTTCGCCATTTTAATTTTTTTTTGGCGAAAGTCGAAACTAGGTTCCGCCTAACAACACTAATATAAACCAAAAAAATATAATAATAAAGCTCTAAGTAATATGGTTAAAAATCGAAGTTGATTTTTTACGAATCGGCTTAAATACTCGTTCATCTGCTTCGTTATCATCATAATTTTGTTCTTGAACAAATACTTCTTGTTTTATGACATTCATTTTTTTTCTATTTAAACATATACCTTCTGTGGTTAAAACATGAATGATTATTATCAATTTATCTTTGCAAATATATAAAGCATTTACCTTGTGTGGGATGATTTTATAGCATCGCTATCCATTTACTGCTCCATCTAGTTGGGTAACAATAATCCGATTAAATAATTATATAGTGTAAAAAAAAAAGCCTTTTTAGTATAAAACAATAACTTCTAATTTGATGCATCATTTTAGATTCTTGTTTAGATTCTTGTCTAAATTTTTGTGCATTTTCTTGTATTATCTGCTTTTAATTTTAGCGCTCTATAAAAGTGCCAAGAAAAATGGTTGAGTTGCATATATAATAAGATTTGAAAATAAAGTTGAGACACGAATATAATCAAAAAAATAACTTCTCATTAATTATTCAAATTTAGCATTTTTATTTATCAAATCTCTTTACTCATCTTACAATGTTCTATTCCTTCTTCAATGAAAATTTCATTAAAAGCTGTATATCCTCTTTTTTCATACCATTCTTTTTTAAAAATTTGACCATGTAACATACATTCCTTGAACCCTAATTCAGATTTTGCAAACGACTCTACAGTTCGGAGAAGTAATTCACCTACTCCCATGTTACGATATGGTTTCAAAACTGATAATCGACCTATCTTACCAGTTGTGGAGGTAGGAGAAGGGTAAGGATGTATTCGGATAGTACCAATGGGAAGGGATGATTTTAGAGCTAGAAAATGATGACATGAAGGAGATTCGTCATATCTGTTTTATAAAAATGTTAGCAATAAGTGCTCAGTTAATATGTAAAATAAAAAAAAACTATTTGAGATATAAGAATAAAACTCTAAATAAGATCGTTACAAATCGAAGTTGGTTTTTTATGAACCGGCTTAAATACTTACTCATCTAATTCGTTTTCTGGATTACAATTTTGTTCTTTAACAAATACTTCAACTCTTATTTTATGACATTCATTTTTTTCTATTTTCATTGATTTAAAATTATGTTCTTGGTTATTATCAATTTTATCTTTGCAAATTTATAAAGCAGTAATACTAAAAACTAATAACAAGGGTGTGATAACTTAGTAAAGTGGTCAAGTTGTTACTCCCAAGTGGCATA